GGTTAGCCAGACCATCATGGACCGAGGCTTGATCATGTTCGATCATAACAACAACAACGACAGCGATAGCAACAACAAGAAGATGTTTCTGCCTTACAATGATCATGTTCAAACTTGTAGAGCTAAACTTATGGCTCATCCGTTGTTTCCTCGTCTATTGGCTTCCTATGTGAATTGTCAGAAGGTGGGATTGTGTTTTGGATTGTGTTTTGTTGTTCATGATTTTATGTGGGGTTTTTTGTTGGGGTTTTCAGGTGGGTGCACCGCCGGATGTGGTGGCGAGGTTAGAACAGGCTTGTACGGTGGCTGCTGGGAATTGTAGGACGGTGGCACGTGGGGATGATCCGGGGTTGGATCAGTTCATGGAGGCTTATTGTGAGATGTTGAGTAAATATGAACAAGAGCTTACTAAGCCTTTTAAAGAAGCTATGGTTTTCTTTTCGAGGATTGAGTCTCAGCTTAAAGCCCTAGCTGCTTCCTCTTCTTCTTCGGATGGTTACTCTCTCTCTCTCTCTCTCTCTCTATTCTAATCATGTTTTATTTATGTTCTTTGTTTTGTTCGATTATTGTGATTAATGCGAGATCTTACGTCAATTGGGTATGAAATGAAACATACGGTGTGGAAAACTAGACTTGCGAGGAAAGCCCGAAAGGGAAAGTTCAAAAAGAAACTTCTTACTATACGTTTTAAAAACCTAGAGGGGAAGGTGTGGGAAGCCTTTTGTTAGATTATTACAATTAATGTGAGATCTCACGTGAGTGGGGAGGAGGGTGTGGAAACCTTTTCTTAATCTTGAGGAGAAGCTTGAAAGAGAGAGTTCAAAAAGAAACTTCTTATTATTAAGACGCGTTTTAAAGACTTTGAGGGGAAGCCTGAAAGCCTTTTGTTAGATTATTATGATTAATGTGAAATCGTGGGAAAGGAAAATAAAACATTCTTCATAAGAGTGTTGAAAATCGCGAGAAAAAGTTTGAAAGGGAAAGTTTAGACAGAAACCTATTTCTATCGGATGCATTTGAAAACTTCGAGGAGAAGTTCGGGAGCCTTTAGTTAGATTATTATGATTAAGGTGAGATTCATATGAGGACTAAATACTGTTGTTTAGCTCAGAAACCCTAAACCCTTGAGCCTTTTAGGTTCATTGCACATCAAATCAGCTCAGAAATGAGTACTGGTCAGCTGGGTTTTTTTTTTTTAAATTTTGTTTAACATTAATTTGTATATAAATACGATGTTTTTTATTGCAACCATTTTAAGGTTATCCTTTGAAGTTAATTGGTCGTGTAAGTGTAGAAGGTTGCCTTAAAGACTTGAAAAACCAAACATGCATTTCTAGGTTAATGCTAAATCTGTTTATGTCTGAATAGGATCCAAGCTTTTCAGGTTGGGTTTGCTTCATCTCCTTACTTTGAATGGTAAAGGAAATGCTTTTTAACCATGGTTAGAGGGTTTTGGGATTCGAACCTAAACGAATACATGTCTTAACCATAGCTATGGTAGCGTGAGCTTTCGAAATTTTTTTTAATGGGTTACAAGTTTTAATCTCTTGGATCCCTAAACTTTGTCGAAAGTTCTAATTTAGCACATACATTTTAGTCCCTGTATTTTTTTTTTTTTTTTTTTTTTTTTTTTTTTTTTTTTTTTTTTTTTTTTTTTTTTTTTTTTTTTTTTTTTTTTTTTTTTTTTTTTTTTTTTTTTTTTTTTTTTTTTTTTTTGACTATTTAACTTCTAAACTTTAGTGTAAGAAAAAAATTAGTTCGAAAACTTTAGAATTTGTACAATTTTAATCTAAATTAAGTGTTAAAAGTCTTATTAATTAGTTTTTACACATTGAAGTTCAAGAACTAAACAGATAACGATGAATATTTTGGAACATCTTTTTTGAATTATACATCGAATTTGATAACTTCATGTTCGTAATAACACCATTGTAAGTTTGGTTCTTGACTCAATATAGATATGTCTTTAGCTTGGTTTCAACTCTATAAAGTGAGAAATGAGATGAATTTCTCCTTTAAATGATTCTATCTTTTGAATATTAATTCCATCCCATGAAGAAAGTTAGGCCTCAAGATGTGGCCCAATGTTTAATTTATTGGTTCTTTTTATGATAGTTTATGTTTGAAAGATGATATGAATCTTGATTTTTGTGTTAATTTTCAAGTCTAGACGATTCAGGATTGTTGGGAGTGAGTCCTACGATGAATAATTTAGGGAATGATTATGGGTTTATAAGTAACGGAATACATTTTCATTGGTACGAAGCCTTTCGAGAATTCCTAAAACAAAGCCTTGAGAGCATATGTTCAAATTAGACAATATTAGATCATTGTGACTCTAACTAGCTTAATGTTGGTGCTAGGTTATGAGTTGGTCGGGCAAAACGAGTGTTCGAAGGAGATCGAGGTCGTTGATATGAACGAAAACTACATCGACCCACAAGCCGAAGAGAAGGAACTCAAGGGCCAACTTCTACGCAAGTACAGCGGATACCTCGGTAGCCTAAAGCAAGAGTTTCTTAAGAAGAAGAAGAATGGGAAGTTGCCTAAAGAAGCTCGGCAGCAGCTGCTTGACTGGTGGAGTAGACACTACAAATGGCCATATCCATCGGTATGTCATTTGACATTGTAAAATTGATATGACTGCTATGAATGATCCGATACGACACTAATGGCAGTGAAACTGTGGTTGGTTGAGCGCAGGAGTCGCAAAAGGTGGCGTTGGCCGAGTCGACGGGGCTGGACTTGAAGCAGATCAATAATTGGTTCATTAACCAAAGGAAGCGCCATTGGAAGCCATCGGAGGATATGCAGTTTGTGGTGATGGATGCTGCTCATCCACACTACTATTTGGATAATCTTATATGCAATCCATTCTCTATGGACTGTTCTTCCACTCTCTTCTGATTACATATCATTTTAATGTTGGTGGTTTGTTTATGTTCTAAGTCATTTCCATTTTGTTTTGAATTGTTCTACATGTTGAACTCAAACCCTTTCTTTGTTTCTTCCTTCTTGATTCTTGGTCTAGGGTTCTTGTATTGTATGCGTTTGTTTTAGTACTAATTTAGCTCGGTTCACATTATTTAACTTTTCGAAGTTTTTTTTTTTTTAAAGTACAATGGAAAATCTCGTTCCTTGATTATCTGTAGTGCTCTATGTCTAAGATTTGGATTCGATATTTGTGTTCTCTTAACATTCATTTCCAGTGATATTGTCATATTACTTGGTTCTCGCTTCATATTTGACTCTAATTGTTTTATAGGATAATCTTACGAGACTCAATCTTAATTATGAGTGAAGTATAAACTTTTGGGGTGTGAAGCTTATTCTTTGATGTGTATACGTGAGAGTGACTTTTATAGTCGATTCAATGAGCCTACCATTTTAATGATTTGACAAAATAGGACGTTGGAAACATAATTTCACGAGATAAAATGCACTTATTTTTATACAGGGTCGATTAGATGACTAAATCACTTAAGTTTATAAACCATGCTATGGATTTAAACGTTCATAATAAAATAACACAAATGCATCTTCCCTCGTTTCAGTCCCATGACCATTATCACGACGTCATCATCCGTGTAGAGATGCCTTATTTTTATCTACAAAATAAGAGCAAGATGAGACGAGAATAATTTAAGAAATAACTCAATATGCAATAATTGTATCAACATGCCTAAATTGTTAGGGCTTGGAAACCCTAGGTTGATTTCTTTACTATTAATTTGGTTGGACGATTTATTTGAAGTATGAACGATGCATGCCTTTGTGGCCTTTGCCTTTGCGCGTGCAGAACCTTGTGATTGTTTGATGTCTATTTTATTATGTTATTGTTGTGATGTGATCCGTATGCTATGATATGAGGCTCGATATGTTGTAATTATATGATATGCTATGTTATGAAAAGTGTGATGCATTATGAGATGACTTGAAATGATTAAACTATGTATGAAATGAACAAAGGTATAACTTGCATCATGATACATGCCACGATTTTTTAAACTATGAGGGCTTCATGCATCTTATATGCTCATGTGCATTGAGATACTTTCCCGCTGTGATTAGTACGGACGTATACACTACAATATTTATGTACACCATAACTACTATGCATGTTCTTTTTCTTCCGTGGCGTTCTGCAGCGTGAGTGTATGTCAATTGAAGGCCAGGTCCAGGGGTATGTATACGAGCCTGCATGGGAGCCCATGTGCGCGTACATGGGCCGCGTGTAGACAAGTACTACACATCAAATTTTGCTCGGATTGGAAGTAGATACCAATGTCATGTCATGGTGTTCTATGAAAGATAGTTCCCAAACACAATTGCATTTCTCAACCCCAATAGCAGGATCGCTTACTGAGTATTTCTTAAAATACTCAAACCACGTGCTACTCTTATTTTTTAAAGTAAAGGTAAGACACTCATGTACAAATGACAACATTGTGGTGACGGGACAGAAGTTAGGATTGATGCATTCATGTCGTTTTTAGCACTTAGGTTAGATTAGGACATTGTTTTGTTTCTTTTCACGCTATTTGTTTTTGCCATATTGTTTAAATACTTTAATAAGAATGTTTAAGTTCACTGTATCATTTATTAAATATTTTAAACGAATATTTTTCGCACAGAATAATCATGTCATGCATTCAGTGACGACGTTGTATTTAATGAGAAAATAAGGTTGTTACACGATCTATGAACGAAGAACGATCTATGAACAAAGATTCTCCAACTCGATCCCGATTTATAGCAACGGGGAATGCGTTAATACCGAGCTGAAAATTTTCCACAAGAAGGGAGATGGGGAATTTATCTCTCACCCGTCCCACGCCACTGATATCTAGTTAGAAGGTTGAATAATCGTAAAAAAAAATTTATAGTATTAAAATGGATGAGGATGCATGGATGAGTCATGAAAGTGGATTATGATGCATATGGGCATGTCATGCATGCATGCCGCATCCCAACAAAATCCCCATTTCCCATTTTCTCCCTCTTCTCCTTCTTCGTCCTTCTTTCTCTCTCTTCAGGCTTCACCTTCTACGTTTAGGGTTTCTGGGTGTGGAAGGAACTCAGTCCAGTGTTCTTAATTTTCTCGATTTGCGCTCAATAATCGCAATCCATGAGAGAAATCTGATCCTTTTTCAACTCGCATTCTCCTTGCGAGTCTGCTTTGCTCTGTCTTCTTTCTCAATCTCGTAGTTTTTTTTTGTTTTTAATCTTCTGTAGCGTTGCGACTTGAACAGTATCTTAGATTATTAGCGGGGTTAATTCATGGCCAAGACTAAACCAGGGAAGAAAGATCTTGATTCATACACCATCAAAGGCACCAACAAAATTGTTCGACGTATTGTCTCTCTGGGAACAAACATGATTTTTGTTCTTCCTCTTGTTCTTCGTCTTCTTCTTTTGTTTTTGTATTCAAAGCGACACTTAATTGGTTTGCATTTTCTGCAATTGCTTTTGGTTGCTTCTGGTGAGTGTTCATTGATTTTTGGAATTGCATTTCTGTGGTTGTTGCAGCTGGTGATTGTGTGTTAATGCGACCGTCCGACTCCGATAAGCCTCCATACGTTGCTCGTGTTGAGAAAATTGAAGCTGATCATCGCAACAATGTGAAGGTTCGGGTTCGGTGGTATTATCGGCCGGAAGAATCAATTGGAGGACGAAGGCAGTTCCATGGTGCTAAAGAGCTTTTTCTCTCGGACCATTTTGATGTTCAGAGTGCTCACACTATAGAGGGAAAATGCACGGTGCACTCTTTTAAAAATTATACCAAACTTGATAATGTTGGTGCAGAGGACTACTTTTGCAGATTCGAGTACAAGGCTGCCACTGGCGGTTTCACACCAGACCGTGTAGCTGTGTGAGTTCTATGGTGTACCTTGTTCCTTACATGTTTCTACTAAAACAATCTCTTGTTGGTAATTATATAAGAAAATTTGTGGTTTATCTGTGTTTTGGGTTCTTTTTTTTAATTGCAGGTATTGTAAATGTGAGATGCCATACAACCCAGATGACCTTATGGTTCAGTGTGAGGGATGCAAAGATTGGTAATCTCAACCTACTTTTGCAGCTATGTGCTTTGTTTCCTTGGGTGAAAATTTAGAGAGGATAATCTGATGCTTGCTTGTTTTATAACTTCGTCATGTAGCTTTTGTTTGGAGATAGTGTAGTGTCGTTCGCCCGTTGCAGGCTATTATATGTCGGTTTTTCTTGGAATTTTAAAGATAGGCACTCTGTTCAATAACTTGTTGTGCCATTGTTAGGGTGATGCACCAAAATGTGAACAAGAATGTGGAGATGAAAAGCCTTGTTTTATCGTCCTCTCTAAACTAACATATATGTTTTGCAGGTTTCATCCATCATGCATGGGAATGACCATTGACGAAGCAAAGAAGTTGGATAACTTTTTGTGTTCAGATTGTTCCTCAGAAAATGATGCGAAAAGGTCCTCGAATGCATTTCCAGTATCACCTTCTGCTGAGGCTAAGGTAAGGGATGTTGATTCATCTTTACATGTGAGAAATACTGCTAAAATCGTATGACATATGATAAAATGTAGAGGAGCTGTACATCATTTGGATTTTATGGCAGAATTACTTGAGAACATTATGTGCCTCTTCTGATCAAACCATTAGAAATTCAAAAACTGGTATGCCTATAAGCAAAGTGATGATGTTGGCAAGAAATGCCAATAAAAGAAATCCAACATTTATGGTTTTGCTAAATTTTATTATCATGGAGATTTTTTGTGTAGTCTATTGAATTCTCATTATGTGCTGGGCTGAAGTTTGAAGTCCTATTAGGGTAATTCTTGTACGCATTCTGTGAGATTCCACATCGGTTGGGAAGAAGCATTCTTTTAAGGATGTGGAAACCTACCCCAAGAAGATGCGTTTTAAAAACTTTGAGGGTAGTCCGAAAAGAAAAACCCAAAGAGGACAATATCTGCTAGTGGTGGGCTTGAGCCCTACACATTCTATGAAACTTGCTATGTGAAACTCATTGCATAATATAGGTCTTGAACACAATTTGGTTTAGGTTGACTGATAACTTCATTTTAGTCGGTACTCCTTTGTCTCTAACTGGATAGTGGTACTGTATTTATGTTTATTTGGTTAGGTTGCAATCAATAGAATATGAAATGACACATAATTGAAGTTGAATAATTGATGTGCACTAGAAGGCACATTCAAACTTTTTGTTTTACCTAGGAATACTCTTCCCTCCCGGACTGCCCTCTGTGCACGAGTAGTTCACATTTGGTGCGACATTTTCTTCTTGACGACTATGGTTGTGTTGGAGCTCTAAAGTTTGTCGTTTTTAAGCAACTCTGAGTCGACTATTGGAGCTCTAAAATTACCATGTTGTTTTAAGTTTCTAAGCAACTCTTGACGACTTTGTTTTAAGTTTCTCTGAGTCGACTATTGGAACTCTGAGTCAACTCTGAGTTGAACAAAGTGTAGTATTAGTGAAGAACTGATTTGGGACAATCCCCAATGTTTGGTGTAAAAGAGGGTCAGAGGCAGTGTAACACACTGAATTTCTGTCTCGTGCTCTCTGGTTTTTATTTATTGTGAAAGGATTTAGGCAATGAAACAGAAATATGGATTCTCATGTTGACTTCTCATGCTAGGTGGAACCAAAGCGTCGGAAGAGATGATTGGCTGATGAAGGTTCATGGAAGTGACAAGGAGGTGCGATTTCCTGCGCCTTTAGTTTCTGTTAATGTCGATGTTGTGGAAATGTACAGTGAAGATAAGATATTGTGCTCGCACAAACCAGAGGTTCTTTTTTTTAAAACTACAATGTTCAAATACATTTACGTGTGCTAAACCAGCGGGGCAATACTGTGATCTGTGTTTGTAGTCGTGGGTGCACGATGCGAAAAACTGCGGTTAATTTATTTAAGTGCTTAACTTTGAGAAACATTTGCACGGAAGTAGAAAGACGTAGGACAGAAAGTGTCTGGATTTGTTGTAATTTGCTTAGTTCTGGCTTTTCTTCAGAGTATATTGAACTGTTCCAAGCTCCCCTTCATTATTATTTTTTCTAGTTTCGCCTTTTTGGGGAAGAGAAAGGACAATGATGAGTTGTTTGGAGCGAGCTCGGTCTAGCAGTGGCATCTTTTACAGCCGCATCCATGAAAGAATGTTAGATTGCTGCTATGCTTCTTATATTGCAGGTGGTGCTTGGATCTTGAAGCCAGAAGAGTATGGAGGCTGGTTGGTTCGTCCATGGCAGCTATAAAGTCTTGCTAACTTTGTGACTGTGTTTGGACAATGCACCAAAGCTTGCTTCTTCCTTCTGATCTGATCACCATGTTCCTCTTCTAGATAAGATTGGCCATGGTCATGAAGCATTTTCTAGGTAAAATGGTGCACTGGACAGATTTGATTATGTTGTTGACTTCCATTTCCAGGCAATGCTGCCGTTATATAGCCGCCATTGAGCTCTGAAATTCCTCACCAACTTTGATAGCACATTCTCATTCTCTATTTATGATCTCTCACCCCCAATTCTCACCATCCAAAGAAACTTGGTGAATATTCGAGTAAGAACATGAATTTAATTCGTTCTTCTATGGGTAAATTTTATATATGTTCATGTGCCTTTTATCTCTGCTCACCTACTCTTTGTATTACTGATCTATTGGTAAACTCGAGACGTCCCTATTCATCGATGTGTGAAATTAAGAAAAATGGTCGAAACCAACACAAATCTGGGAATTACTCTGTTCAGCTACAGCTTTATTCTAATCAAGTATCGTTTTGAATGATATTATTAATCTCTATTAGTCTATCAAACTATAAGAATAAAATTCTAATGAGATTAAAATTTTAACTACAAGGGCTAAATTTGTAATTTAACTATATAAGTCTCGGGTTCTAAATAAAAGCCCTTTGGAAGTATATAATGGATACTAATACAATTAATCTTTCTATTAAGTTGATGTTAATGTATTAACAAAGAATGATCGATTACTCAGACCAGCATGGATTTACATATACTGAGGAAGAAAAAAGGGATTCCTCTGGGGATTTTTATAGAGAAGTAGAAAACATCCTGGTTTGCATGCTTCCTTTTGGCAATGAAGAACATGTTTGTCGCAGCCAGTCAGTCGAGAATGGCGTCAACATTGTTCATAAGAATGGCCAAAAAATCTCTAGAAACTTCATTCGAATCTGGAAGGGACCTCCAAGTCTGAAATGAAAAAGATAGTTCATGCCACAGAGAAGATTGAACAGTTGAAGTGTGCATTCTACTGTTTCTATATCATTTCGAGAAAGTTCGTACGCTCCATCGTCCCATCCTCAGCGAAGAAAATGTGCATAGAAAATTTATCACTGAAGTAACCACACTGGCTGCTGATTGTTCTTCACATCTACCTGCAGAAGTGAGCTTGGAGGACCTCGAGACATGTTTTGGAACACAACCTCTGGATCAGTCGATAGGAGACGCCAATAGATATACGCACGATCACGCAAATCAGGATTATCCATCTCCACAGTAGCATTATTCAAAACAGCCTGCAAAAGATTTAGCAATTGAAATCATGCTAGTAGAGAAAATGAGCTGAATCATCTACGCTTGATCCAAACTTCAATCCTTATTCTAGCAAAGGTAAACTATAGTATAAGCGATCCAGCAGCTAAATTGGTATCAATCAGAGACAAAAAAATAGAGCTGATTTGACTCGACACAACCTAACATGCACAGGTAGGTCTCAACGTAAAAATCTGATTGATACATATACTCGATTGACATTAAATTTACGATTTCAAAAGTCAATTGTATGATCCCCATCCAAGAAATAATTCATGAAAAATAAAATCTCTTCATCTTTTGATCTCAACAATTAAAATGAAGATCCCGAAGGAACTCGTAGACTCTGAAGTTACAACAACCGAGTTTCTAATCGAATATCCAGTTAAATGCCAATTCAACATTGTTACATTGCTGTTCATGCAAATCTGCCTTTCCAAGCATAATTTTCCAAAGGATTTCAAGAATCATAACAACAAGGAGAGAGCCTCTAAGAAGCTACTGATTTGGGGCAAGCCATGAGCACAAACTGCAAGAAAATGTTCATGAAACATATTTCCAGAAAAAAGATAACTGAGGGCAGTCTAGAAACAAGAAACTGAAACTTTTCGTGGGTGATGCAACGACTAGTAATCATCACCATATGCTTTGAAACAATAACGCTCTTGATACGGTCCATTGAAAAAAAGGTCAGCTTCGAACCACTTTGGGTAACGAACGAGGTCACCAGCCACGAAACTCATGTACTGCTTGCTCCCCTCAGGAACTACTCTCACTTCACCTTCCTCAATGTAAACCAGTTGATCTGCTTGCCAGTCCCATGGCAATTTGCACTTCCCCGTCTTCCATGTTGACCACCTCGAAACTCCTAGCTGGGACAGCCGTTCCTCTGATACCCTACGTTCAACTCTCACATTGTATAACTCCTCAAGAGGTTTCTCTATGTGCATAGCCCTAATTTTGAGAGATCCCTTGATGGTAGAATTCGACTTTGTATGGTTCTTGCTCCCTATATTCACACGGAATGTCGCCATTGTAGGAGCAGCAAGCATACTCGCCATGCTTGACACTATATAAATACTACCTTCAAGAAAAGTTAAAGAAGCCCAAGTGGTTGTTCTGAAGATCTGCAAGGACCGATACAAATTTTGAGCTGTTAAAATGTTCCACATATAGAAGATACCAAAATTACTCCAAAACCTTAACTATTTACTTAATTTGTAAGCTCATTTGCACTTGGGCTCTCTCAGTCTTCGTCAATTTTCTCTGTTCTATTTCTGGGTATTCATACAGAATTTCTAACATCTAATTGATCCTTTATGGTGTCATTCCAGACCGACGAAACTTTCATTATTGATAGGTAAAATAAAAAACCTCCAACAAGCAGGTTTAAGAAAGGCAGTCACAATCCTAGAGAGGCGTGTTTTTAGATGAATCAGTGCATTGATGAACAAATTTTCCCACCGGAAATTTCTTCAGTTGCATCAGATTCCACTAAAATAACCACACAAGTTCAAGCTCAAGTAAGCAGAAATGGCTATTTCCCATCACCGAAAATTCTCCTTCTCCTACGATTCCCCCAAACCAAAACCATAGAGGGTTTAAAGAATGCATATAAGAATCAATATCAAACTGAATCGGCACAGAAAAATTAGTTGCGGAGAAAAAGAAATTCACAAGGAACTATCCTGGATTCTAAGAATTCCAAAGATGGATAAAATCCACAACCCGGAGAAACGGGAAACTTAATCCATTAATGGAACATACTACAACTCCATCAATTGCTAGATTACAAACGCAGGCAAAATAACAAACTAGTGTAATCAGAAACAAAGGAAACTTTGGATAATTACCTGCGAATTTGAAGAAATGAAGACGATCCAAGTTACAGAGTCGAAGCAATCCCTAAAACCCTCGAGCGAAGGTTTATCCAATTCGACAGAATATTGGCTCAGCCTTTCCACGTCAGTGGCGGGAAGTTTTTACCGGAAACCGGGACTAGCAGTTTCCAAATTATTTCTAGAAATCCTTTTTTATTTTCTTAAAATTACTATAGTGCCAAATTCTAAAAATAAACTATTGTATTTAATAAATTTTATTTATTAAATATTTTTTTAAATTACACAAAATTAAAAGATTATAATTATAAAATTGAAAGTTTAATTAATAGACCATCTTCCAATTCCACAGCCATGTTCTCTGTTCATCTCAGACCGCACAATCTTTGGCCTGCGAACCCCAAAAGGAAGATTGTTGTTTCATAGACCTAGAGTGGGCGAGCCCCATAACCCAAGAATTCAAGCTGATATGAAAACCCAAGTCGCCTCTTCTCGAACCCTTGTAACCCTTTTGCTCGATTACATTATTTCTGGTGGAGAGGGGTACGGACTATTCTTTACAAGGACGTGGAAACCTCTCCTTGAAACACGTGTTATAAACCCACAAGGGGACCTCCAGAAGAAAAAGCCTGAAGAGAACAATATATGCTAACGGTCGGCTTGGAGAGTGGCAAATGGTATTAGAGCCAGACACAGAGTAGTGTCCTAGCGAGACCCAAAGGGTTTTTTATAAGAGTGTGGAAACCTCTCCCTAATCGATGCCTTTTAAAACCTTGAGAGGAAGCCCGAAAGGGAAAGACAAAGAGGATAATATCAGCTAACGGTGGATTTGGACGTGGACGGTACAAAGTATGAGAAAGAGACAAGAACTTGGGATGTCTTATATTTTCAACCTCAGGCATAAAATCAACATGGAACTTCTATATAAACTTAGCTAGCAAGCTGTAGCATTCTACACTTATCATTTACAGACATACAAGATAAACAACAGAAGGTCAAGAAAAATTATACAGTTCAGTTGGGAGTCTTAGAACCCAAAATCTTTGAGAGTTCCTTTATGAGAGGCTTCTCTTTGATATCTCCATTTCTCTCCACATGCCATTTCTTCGACATATCATCAGCCTAAAACTCGAAAAACAACCCTGGTTAGATAACGAACACGCAACAGGGGAGTGCTGTGTGGATCACAAATGATAATGACATACCCAGACTTTGAGGGGAGCTAGTTGCTCTCTAACCATCTCTATCTTTGGTTCAATCATGCTTCTTCCTTTTTGTTGAATCTCATTGGCCTGTCGAAAACGAAGATTCCACGACCCGAGTTTAATGGAAATATATGTGCATATACAAAGATTATCAAGAGATAAGAGGTTGAATCCATGTTTACATTGTTGAGGTCTAGCTTGGACATGGTGAATCCAAAGATCAAGGTGGAGCCACCAAAGACGAACGCAGTAGCTACACCAAATGCCTTTCCAACTACATGGGAAACCAAAGCTCTACTGATTAGGATGAGAGATGTAGAAACAGAGAAGTTGTTTCATTTGGAGGGTTACCATTTGTAAGGCCTTCAGCAGCAGCCTTCAACTTCTCAGGGTTAATAGATGTGAGCTTGTCGGTTCTCAAGTCGTTAGCTGTTGAAGCCACTACTGAGTTTTCATATTGAGGCAATTCCCACCTGAAGATAAGAGAAAAAGGTTGTTGTTATCAAACTCTTTAGATAAGGACACAGGGAAGCATTGAACTTAGTTGTGTCCCACAGCCACCAAAACTCTCCTGTGTTCCTCAAGCCATAAAAGCCACCAGCCAAATGGGAGGAGGCCTTCTTTACTTGTCCACAAATTAAGGATGGAACATCACTTCCAAGATCGAGTGTTACATACTGTGAGTCCCCATATCGGTTGGGGAGAAGAACAAAACATTCTTTATAAGGATGTGGAAACCTCGAGGGGAGCCCAAAAGGGAAACTCCAAAGATGACAATATCTACTAGCGGTGGGTTGAGCTGTTACAAATGGTATAAGAGTCAGACACCAGACAATGTGCTAGCGAGGAGGTTGAGCCCCCGAAGGGGGGTGGACATGAGGCGGTGTGCCAGTAAGGACACTGGGCCTCGAAGGGGGTGGACGCGAGGTGGTGTGCCAGCAATGATGCTGGGCCCCGAAGGGGGGTGGATTGGGGGGTCTCACATTGATTGGAGAAGGGAATGAGTCTCAGCGAGGACGTTGGGCCTCGAAGGGGGGTGGATTGTGAGATCTCACGTCAGTTGGGGAGGAGAATAAAGCATTCTTTATAAACGTGTGGAAACCTCTCTCTATCAAACACGTTTTAAAAACCTTGAAGGGAAAACCAGAAGCAAAAGCACAAAAAGGATAATATCTGTTAGTGGTGGGCTTGGGTTGTTACAAATGGTATCAAAGCTAGACACCAGACGATTTTTCAGCGAGGAGGCTGAGCCCCGAAGGAGGGTGGTCACAAGGTGGTGTGCCAGCAAGGACATTGGGTCCCGAAGGGGGTGGATTAGGGGGTCCACATCGATTGGAGAAGCGAACGAGTGCCAGCGAAGATGTTGGGCCCCGAAGGAGGTTGGATTGTGAGATCCCACATCGGTTGGTGAGGAGAACGAATCATTCTTTATAAGGGCGTGGAAACCTCTCCCTAACAGACACATTTTAAAGCCTTAAGGGAAAGTTCGGAAGGGGAAAAGCTCAAAGAGAACAATATCTAGTAGCGGTGGGCTTGGGATGTTACGAACTGTTACGAGCACATGTCTAAGTAACTATTAGAGCAGCAAATCAAAACTTCCCAACTTCATAGATTCTATTAACTTTCCAAGCGCATCAGAATCATTACAGGATTGACATCCTGCTTCAATAACCACACCTCAAAACGCACTACCTATTTGACAGACCAGGAATCAGACAACAAAAGATATAGAAGAATCCAGCGCCACCTACTGTATGTTCAATTCAAAGTAAATGGCTATACAGAGTCCCAGAAACCAAATTTTTTCTCAATATCCACAAAAAATGAGGCAAATAAATCCAGTTCATTCAATCAAAGCTTAAACCCTAATCCACTTCAGAAACGAACCTTTTGGGGCCGAACGTAACCTGGGGAAGTGAGAGAAAAGCCCTAAGAGGGTTCAGAGCATCCAAAGATACAGAGCGATAATTAGGGTTAGAAGGAAGAACCCATTTCGAAGTAGAGAAGGATCCATTGGAGTTCACCGATTCCTCCCGGAAGATTTTAGACGGCAGAGAGTGCCTCAAAACCTCTGGAAGAATGTCGGCTTGAGATTCACCGTCCGGTGGTTTCTGGGCCGAAGACGGTGGTTTCTGGGCGGCGTTCTTCTGAGCAAGGCGGCCGACGGCTTGTTTGGATTCCTGAATGAAGTATGCCGCCTCTTTCCCGGCCAATCTTCCGGCCAAAAAACTCATCGTTCCCTCTTTTGCGTGTGCTAATTTTTCAAATTTCCGTTGGTCTAATGGCGGGTGATGTGGCAGTAGAGCTGTATTTATAGTATTCTAATTTATTTATTTATTGTTAAATTTATGTTTTAGTCCTCATGTATTTTTTTTTAATCTTTTTAAATGATAATATTAAAAAAAATAATTGCATTATGCAAATAAAAGTATTTATTAATCTTTAATTTTAATTTAATATTTATATTTATTTTAAAGATTATGACATATTTGTTTAATACTCCCAACATTATCATCAATCAAGTGTTTTCTCTCTCTAAAATGTCAACAAAAATAAAAAATAAAAATAAAAAAGGAAAAAGCTTAGTGGTCAATATTAACACCTATTAATTAATTAATTAACTAATAAAAATGTTGAAGAGTCCAAATTTGTTCTTCTTGGAGGACAAGCACCACAAAAAGTTCTCATCTTTTCTTGGGCTTGAAGATGAAGATTACCATAATGTTTTTTTTTTTTTTTTATATATAAAAAAATTATATATTCAAAGACTCGGGAATATTAAACAAATAGGGATGTTCATATGACTCGAGAATCCGACAAACCTCCATTAACTAATTCATACTGAAGGTTGATTTGGGTTAGATTTTTGTTTAGGATAGGTTCGTGGATTATCAGCTTTTTTAAGCTTTATAATAATCTTAAAAGTAGGGTAAGGTTGAGTTAGGTTGTAAATGATGTTAGTGATGGGTTGAGTATTAGATATAAGTAATTTTTTTAAAAATAATTAAAAAAAAAAAAACCCGACAATCTAATTCAATCCAACTCTCCATTTTCGAGTTGGGTTGGGGTGTAAATATGTCATCTTTTACCTATTAGGCTAAGTTACACAAAATTAACGGATATATAGTGTCGAAAGTTGGAGACTCAAAGACGATTAGATATACTGTCCTAGTCTCAACATAAACGATATTGATCAGGGATGGACGAATTTTACTTTCAAAGACACTACTAACACTTCACGAACGGATCGTGAAGAGTAGGATCGCAAGTCTGAAACTTAAACGAAAGTTACTTATTAACAAAACCCGAAAAGGATTTGGTGAAAGATTGAAAAAGGATCTTATAATGGCATTCCCTCATTTGACTTATGGGTACAAAAAGATGATATATTTCTATTCAACCACACAATAATTTGCTCAAATGAGTTGAGTTTTACATGCGCGCATATACACACATCCTCAACACAAAAAGAAGGGGAGAAAAGCCTGGTTGTGGACCATTCCCACCACTTCCACCACTTCACTCACCAAATTCCAACTCTAAACTCGAGATTATCCCTTTCCGTAGATATAGTTCGTTTTGGCCCATTACATATCGCCATCAGCTTCACGATTTTAAAATGCATCTATTAGGGAAAGATTTCCACACCCTTGGATGCTTCGTTCTTCCGTCCAATTGATGTAGGGTCTCACGTAACGTCAACTACTGAAACACCAAGAAATGACGAAACCAAATGACCATTTATTAGTAAAGTTGATTACTCGTCAGCTACTAATGTGGGATCTTATAAGGAATGTTTTATTCTTCTCTCCAACCGATGTAGGATCTCACATCACGTTAGCTACTGAATCACCAAGAAATGACAAAACTAAATGACCCTTTTATTAGTAAAGTTGATTACTTGTCATACATGTCGTTCTCGACCAATTTTGCACCACGAGATGCAATAGAGAGAAATTAGGGTTTTGGGTTTAAGTTGTGAAATCTATTAAATGAACTCTATTGTCATGCCTAAGGCTTCAACCTTAGCCTAGTTTTGTAGGTTTAATGACAAAGTTGATGTCTTTCATATACGAAGGCTTTAAGCTTAGCCCTATTTTGGTAACCTTAATGAAAAAGCTGAGATCTTTTAGAGATTCATACGCCCACATACATTTTATTCCCTCTGAACCATCGATGGCCATGAATATGGATGAAGAAGATGGGTATTTAATTGCATGGTTGTTGTGGGAAATTAAGGGTATTCAATTTGAGCATTAAAAGTTGCAGGTTTTCTTACATTAATGGCGGATTGGGAAATCGCTAAAAAAACCCAGAACTTGTCTAGCTCCCAAAACAAAACCTAAGTAGCTCGGGTTCATAACTCGTTGCATAAGACAACAATTACCGTAACAATCCAAGCTCAATGCTTGTAGATATTTGTCTGCTTTGACCTATTACATATTGTCGTCAATCTCAATTAGGGAGAAGTTTTCACACTCTTATAAAAAATGTTTTGTTCCCCTCTCCAACCGATATGGGATCTCACAATCCACTCTTCTTGGAGGCTAGTGTCCTCGTTGACACACCATTCGATACTTGGCTCTATACTATTTATAACAGCCCAAGCGCTCTACTAGCAAATATTGTCCGCTTTGACCCATTACATATCTTCATTACCCTCATGATTTTGAAACTCTTTTGTTAGGGTGAGATTTTCACGTAGTGAGATCCCATATTGGAGAGAAGAACAAACATTTTTTTATTAGGGTGTGAAAACCTCTCTCTAACATACCAGTTTTATAACTGTGAATCAAACAATGTTTACTAACCATAGGCTTGAGCTATTACGATTACGTCCAAAAGTCGATGATTCGATAGATCTCGAGAGTTTAACTAACATGCATGGCTCGACTTTATGTTACTTTTTTTTTTACCATTTGAAGAGAGAAAGATGAGATAGCTTGAGAAAGACATTTTCTACATGCAATCACGATGATGATCTTAAAGAGTAATAATTTCACGTAAGTAAAGCAGGAAGAGTTATAATTATAATAATGAAAATTTATCTATTTATTTAATATACAATAATTAATATTGTATATAACACCAAAATAATAATAATAATAATAATAATACAAAAAATTTCTAAATGGGTTTTCTTACAAAATTTTTTATAGATTAATTTCTATCAAGAAAATAATTTTTAAAAATTTAAAAAAAAAAAGAAAAAAGAAAAAAAATTAATACTTTTAATTTGAGAAGCTTGTGAAATAATCATCACCGTTTGTTGTGTAGAGGATTCGAACCTGTGGGGACTCTTCGCTTCTGATCTTCGAAGTCTATGGGTTTGGTTGTCGACGGCGAAGATGGCCGGAAAATCACTTGTTTTCTCAACGAAATCCTTGGCCGGACTGCGGCGGATGCGATGGTGGCGGCGGTGGTCGGAGTGAGGAGGAGAAGAAGAATGGCGAGGAGGAGGCGGAGGTGGAAATGAGTCATGTTAGAAAAATGGAGAAATAAAAATGTTTTGAATTTTCAGCCGTCCAGATTTGTGATATATAAGACCAGTGAGGGGGGGGGGTTTTGTTTCGGTGCATAAGTCAACATTTGAAATCTGTTTTTGACTGATCTCAGCCGTTGAATGGAGTTTTGATGAGTTAATCTGGACCGTGGAAATTGGGGGTTTGGTTTGAAAGACATGATGTGGGGTCACATCATTGAATTCTGAAGCGACATGTAGAGGATTAAACACTCACTGACTAACATGAAAAAGTAAATCGAAAGGAAGAAAGCGTAAGAAGACGGGAATACCCTTGTTTTTGGAGTTAAACTACGAAGTCTTGCCATTTGATTTAACGTGAGGAATCAAGAGGGATGGGAGGTAGTTTAGTCATTAAAAAAAAGGAAAAAAGTCAAAGATTTGATATGCCAACATGCCAACACACTTGATTAAGGGGGAAATTAATCAAATACATGATGATCAAGGGATGCTTATATTCTAAAACACCGTCCCATAACTAACGTTGAATTATCGAGCTAATTATCTATCTATTTATTTCATTTTTAACATTTACTGAACGTCGTTGAATATTTCGAAATTGCACGTACTTCAGCTCCTATTGATTGATTATGTAATGATATGAATCTGTACATCGTACCCGACGCACTGTCAAACGAGCGTCATACGAGATTTTCAAGAACCTTACATGTTTGTTTAGGCACAAGTGCTCGATTAAAAGCATACTGGTCCTAAAAGCTTAAACCATCGATTTCTTATGGTTTACATATCTTATTATGGAAATCCCATTTTCCCTCGAACACGAGTTAAGCTAAAAAAGGTAGCACATCCTAACCCTAAATTCACATCCGAGGTCATCTTCATATGATATAGCCTTAGTTCTAATTTATTCTAATAGTTTTAAAATTTTCAATTTGGTACATAATTTGTGTTTAGTTCGATTTGGACTTTATGATAGTCCAACCTAAACGAAAGAAAATAGAACCGAGCCGATAGAGGGTAAAATGGTAATTTGAGGAGCACGAAGGTGATGCCACGTGGAGATCAGGCATTGGTTGACCAAGGTTTTAGAAAAAAGGGGGAAAGAAAACTGAAGTGATTCAGAAACCTTGGTTCCCATTTTGGTTAGTGGGTTTATTGAGTACTTTCGTACCCTAAATGATTCCTTTGTTGAACTTTAAAAATCCCTCCAAAAAGTTGAATATTCTTTTTAAATATTTTAATATATTGTCGAAAACAAAATTAAATAAAAACACGATATCTTTTTTTCTAGCTCTATCGAACGTAAACGGAACTGAAGGTTGCATTCTACCGATGTTAAGTCATGGACGGGTTCTTTCAACCCTTTTTGTACACCCACATCGGAGATGAACCGAACTATCTCACAATATTCTGAACCTAGCTCACGTATAACTTTAATGGCCGAACAGCACAACCTTTGAAATATATATAAGTTTAGTTTGATTTTGGAGGTCATAGTCCTTAGTGTGAATTGCTAAGGAAGTTTGCTACGTGTGTCGTTGCCATTCAAAATAGATCCTTCTTGAATCACAAATATAAGTCTTTTTAGGATTTCAACAATAATAAACACGTATTCTCGAGAGTTTAAAATTTAAAATTTATTGGTGAATATGTCAAATATCGATTCATATTTTCATTCTTGTACATATATGTTGAAATTTTGTCAGGTAAAAAGAGTCATTAATGTCTTAATCAATCGAATTATGTATAAGACGTATGTCTAAATATAATGTATTAAGATTTTGATGTTTTTGAATCTTTCTTAACCATTTAAAACGTTTGTCAAAACTTGGGCTAGGTCCCGTTCTTGAAAAACGATTTTAGAAAACGGAAAAATCGATTTAAGAAAATAACGTTATAGACTAGCAAGCAAACAAGCAACAACCACGATTTCGGTAGCGTTGAGTTTAGAATTATAAGAACATAATCTTTTGAAGAAGAAAGAGAAAAATGGAAGTTTGAGATAAGGAAGTATAATAATGATGAACCTTTAGGGTTTGGGAAAAAAAGAGTTGAGATCTTTGACCATTATGATGAACCTTTAGGGTTGAGTAAAGTAGAAGTTGGTTGTGGATGATCAATAATCGTGATGGATGATTATTCACGGTTCAATATTTTTCATACCGTCAGTCTAGTTCACGTGTCAGATTGATCTTTCTTTCAAACGAAAAGAGATAAAGAAGATCAGTTTTTTACTCATGTTGAATACCCCACGAACGAGATGATCAATCCTAATTTGAATTTGAATGTTCAAGCAAGCAACTTCTCGAACATCAATTTTAAAATAACGAGGCTCAGAATTCTCAAAAGTAGAAACATTGCAGTTTTATTCAATGATAACCCTAATAACGATGACTATAAATGAAAACGCTAATTTAATTGATATTCAAATCATCGTTCTAGATAGAAAAAGACGAAAATACCCTCACTTAAAACAACAATTTATTGCTTATTCTTCGTTTGAAATGGTCAAAGTGGAAAGTTCTTTCCTTTCATAAACATTGCCGACATAATGAAAGTTGAAATAATGCATTTCAATCGAGAAGATAATTAATTTTTGTTTAATAAAAAGAAAATTATTATAATTAAAATTATGGTTTATTTAAGTTTAAACTTAAGCGATAAAAATCTGAGCATTTAACCGTTTGACCGAAAATATATATATTTTGTATAAATTTCTTGAAAACTTTGGTCAAACCCACGTGACAAAATATGTGGTACGAAGTTTTTTTGAGTTGACCTCGTGAGAGCTCAAAAGCTAAAGAACTTTTTAAAATTGTTGTGCTTAGTTCTAATCAAGTTGAGTACTTATTGCCATGGGTGGAATCCTTGCTACCATGTTCGATATGGATCTGTTAAGAGACGACAAGAAGCTTTATAAAGATTGGTACTCATTTTATTTAACTCAACTCTATAAGATTTCAGTCTAAGTACTAACTTAAACATCAAAGCATGTTATGCATATTACACGGGCGAGAATTTCCTACGGACAATTGACTAATTGGTGTTGATTCATTCGTGTTATCAAAGATTGTCGTTAGGAATAAAATTTAAAAAGTCTCTCTTCGAAGCGAGGATGGGGACGAGAATATAATCCCTGTCTTTGGACCCATTTATCTAACCGGGAGAAATCTCTCTTCAATCCGTTCTTCATTCCCATTTAAAGGGGAAATCTCCACCCAGTTCGAGGTGGGTTCCCACAGTGGCTCTGTGATGTCCCACATTGGTTGGGGAGGAGAACAAACCACCATTTATAAGGGTGTGGAAACCAGATGACTTTTAAAGCCTTGAGGGGAAGCCATAAAGGGAAAGCCCAAAGAGGACAATATCTGGATCGTTACAGGCTCGACCACCATTTATAAGGGTGTGGAAACCTTCCCTTAGAGACGCATTTTAAAGCCCAAAGAGAACAATATCTCGACCACCATTTATAAGGGTGTGGAAACCTTCCCTTAGAGACGCATTTTAAAGCCCAAAGAGAACAATATCCACCATTTATAAGGGTGTGGAAACCTTCCCTTAGAGACGCATTTTAAAGCCCAAAGAGAACAATATCTCGACCACCATTTATAAGGGTGTGGAAACCTTCCCTTAGAGACGCATTTTAAAGCCCAAAAAGAACAATATCTCGACCACCATTTATAAGGGTGTGGAAACACAATATCTCGACCACCATTTATAAGGGTGTGGAAACGCATTTTAAAGCCCAAAGAGAACAATATCTCGACCACCATTTATAAGGGTGTGGAAACCTTCCCTTAGAGACGCATTTTAAAGCTCAAAGAGAACAATATCTCGACCACCATTTATAAGGGTGTGGAAACCTTTCTTTAGAGACGCATTTTAAAGCCCAAAAAGAACAATATCTCGACCACCATTTATAAGGGTGTGGAAACGCATTTTAAAGCCCAAAGAGAACAATATCTCGACCATCATTTATAAGGGTGTGGAAACCTTGGGTGTGGAAACCTTCCCTTAGAGACGCATTTTAAAGCCCAAAGAGAACAATATCTGCTCGCAGTGAATTTGGGTTACAGGCTCGATCCTGTCGATTAAATAAACATCTCTGACTATAACAGTGTAAGATTCTTTATTGCATGTCAAGTTAATTCTTCGTTTTGCCATCTCGCCTTTTAACTTACATGGACTAAGGATCATATTTTCCGACCACATACGATTTTTGAGCTATCCCGAACACTATTGTAGTCTAAAATGTGGTACGATAATTAATAATATGGAGAAACAATTATATAGTTTTATTAAGAATATTATAATTTTCTTTGTTTGTTTAATTTTTAGTACTATTTGTTATTATTATTTTTTTAAATATAAATAGAATATGTGTTAATTTAATTTATTGAGAAGAAATTACAAAATATTATTCCATGGCCATATAAGTTGAGCCACAAAACTAGCAATTTCTAAACAAATAAAACCTACCATTTGTCCTTTTAGATCATCATTTTGATTCCCTATCCCAACCTCAATTATAAACAAAACTTGCATAAAAAACTCGATTATTTGTTACATTTGTCGTACTTTCAGTAACGGGTTTGAGATTAATCATATTATAATATTGCACAAAAGTATAAATCGTCTTATCATTCGAATCTATCAAAATAGCTCAAATAATGTATTGTTCTATAAATAAAAAAAAAAGACAGTACAAAAAACGAGCTAGGGATTACTAGGAATGTTGAGAGAGTTCAAACCGTGTAAAGTTAGAGGTTTACATCTAAACATTGTTTGAATTCTCGAACGACTTACATTTTTAACGAAGAATATAATACAATATGATAGTAACTCTCTCAATTAAGACGTCTCTAATGACTCTCTTGATATTTCTATCTCTTGTCAAAAAAAAAAAAAAAAGAAGTTAAATGTTTTTGTACGGCCCAATCCCACTCCCTGATGTCTGACTTTGATATACTTGTAACAACCTATGCTCATAGTTTGACTCGTATCATCGTCAGCCTCACGATTTTATAAACACATCTATTAGGAAGAGATTTTCACATTTTATAAGGAATGTTTCGTCACTCTCTCCAACGACTCGAATCTCACAATTGAAATATTCACTCTACAACCTGAGAAACAGTAGAATCTATACCAGGAAAGAGTAAAAGATTTGAACTCTACCCATGGAGTAAAATCTAAATTACTAGACAAAATTCAAACTCTGATCATTAGCGGGCATAATTTATCATGAATTCATGATGAGCAACTACGGTGAATTGAAGATGAGATGGTTCTAAGTTACAATCACGAAGAGGAAGAGCCAAATTTTGCCACTTCCAAGCGTGTCGCCCCCACCATAACTGCAGCAACAGCCTACAGAGCAGCCCTCATGACCCAAATTCCTTCCAAACATCTTGACTAACAGCCCGCCAGAACATTTCAGCAATTCGCCAGCTTCACGACCCTTTCATTAATCACCCAAGGAAGCTTCATCCCAATTGGGTCATCCATATTGTATTCTATTCTTCGTTAAAAAATGTTAGCCATCGTTTTTTACCAGCCCAAGAGTTCAAACAATCGTAACCCAGTGAAATATCAAGACCCTTTCAGTCAACGGTGTAACGAGGCGCTCTATTCGAAGCGAAAATCGGCTTGTTTCTTCTCAGAATCATAATTTCTCAACTGGGTTTTCTTCAATTGGTTTGATTTGGGGTTTGTTTCATCCAAATGAACTCCCGATTTGGGTTTTTGTTATTGGTTTTGATATCTGTTCTTCTGGGTGCTGATTCAAAGTGCCCTAGAACATGCGATGTAGCTTTGGGTTCATATTTAGTTTGGCAGGGAAGCAATTTGAGTTTGATATCCAATCTGTTCGGCGTGCAATCCCCTGATACCATTGTGAGCTACAACAGAGATAAAGTTCCCAACAAAGACACCATTACTAGCGGCGATAGGATCAACATTCCATTCTCCTGCGGCTGTATTAACGATGCTTTTCTGGGTCATACGTTCCAGTACAGGATTAGCAGTGGAGATAGCTACAATCAAATTGCGACCAAATTCTACGCGGGCTTGACTACGGTGGACATGTTACAGAGATTCAATAATTTTGATGTTAGTCGGCTTCCTGTAGGTGGAATTTTGAATGTAGTGGTGAACTGCTCTTGTGGGGATCCTGATGTTTCCAAGGATTATGGGCTGTTCATCACTTACCCAATTGGATCAAATGATAGTTGGGCTAATTTGGAACGAGATACAAAGATCAGCTCGAATTTGCTGCAGCAGTACAATCAGGGTGTGAATTTCAGCCTAGGAAATTTGATCTTTATTCCAGGCAGAGGTGAGTTTCTTCCCCTTGTTTTCGGTATGATCCTGTTCATCCAAGATCTTTTGCGGTTGGTGTGTCAGGAATCACGACTCTCCATAATGATATAATATTGTCCACTTTGAGCCTAAGCTCTTGTGGCTTTGCTTTCGGTTTTCCCAAAAGGCCTCATACCTATGGAGATGTATTCCTTACCTATAAAGCCCTTGATCATTCCTTAACTAACCAACGTGGGACTCCCTCAACAATTCTCAACAATTCTCCCCTCGAACAAAGTACACTATAGAGACTCCTCCAAGGCATATAGAGCCCTCGAACAGTCTCCCCTTAATCGAGGCTCGACTCCTTCTCAGGAGTCTTCGAACTTCGAACAAAGTACACCCTTTGTTTGACACTTGAGTCTTTTTTTACTATACCTTCGAGGCTCACAATTCTTTGTTCGACATTTGAGGATCCAGTTGACATGGCTAAGTTTAGGGCATGACTTTGATACCATGTTAGGAATCACGACTCTCCATAATGATATGATGTTGTCCACTTTGAGCCTAAGCTCTCGTGGTTTTGCTTTTGGTTTTCCTAGAAGGTCTCGTATCAATGGAGATGTATTCCTTACTTATAAACCCCATGATCATTACCTAAATTAGTCAATGTGAGACTCCCTTCCAACAATCCTCTAACATTATGGCTATGTTTGATAACTTGTGTGACAGTATTTTCTTGTTTGCAGATCAAAGTGGCAGCTACCCACCTCTGAACATAAGGTAGTTTCATTATGTTTGTGTTCCTTTTGAGTTAGATATGTGCAACTTTTCTGGTTTCTCAACAGCCCTTTTCTTAATCTCTTGTTCTCTGCAGCACAGGTGCTTTGTCTTTCTTAGATGGGCTTGAAATGATTGTCTTGAGATTGTGAGAAAGAAGCCATTGATGGCCATGTCTGAGTTATTAGAATTGGAACTTGAAGCTCCTTCAATCTTATTGTTCTCTGTTTGTATATGATCAGGACTTGTAGGTGGAGCCATTGCTGGCTTAGTTATTGGTGTAGTTCTTGGGGTCTTACTTGTAGCAAGCGTCGTTTACATCGTCGTTCGAAGGAGGAAGTCGAAAAGTTCTACATTGCTGGTGTCCTCCCAAGATTTATCTTCTCAAGATGGGCATGGTACTGTTTTAACTTTCAAATGTTGTTTTAGAATGGTACGACTGATGATTTATAACTATCGTTTTATAAATCCGCCGTTGTATTAGGTCTCGTGATGGGAAGTTCCATGGATAAATCTACTGAATCAAATGGTCGAGGTGGTGGTATAGCTGCAGTCACAAATATTACTGTGGAAAAATCAGTGGAATTCTCATACGAAGAGCTTGCGAAGGCGACCGATAACTTTAGTTTGGCGAACAAAATCGGTGAAGGTGGTTTTGGATCGGTTTACTATGCAGAACTCAGAGGAGAGGTTTGTTGGTTTATCCCAGTTCATCCTAAATGGGTTATGGCTCATGAGTTTAAGTTTCCATTCAAATTCTACTATGGAAGTACCGGTAGTTTTATAGTTGGTTCTGTGGCTTAAAGATAGCTCAATCTGTTGAGTGATGCTGAAATTTCGCCCCAGTGTTATGTACTTCCCGTAGTCTTTAACATCTTCGATGCTATATCTTAGTTCTACAACTCAAATTGTACGTCTAATGTGAAATTCCACATTGGTTGGGGAGGAGAACGAAACATTCTTTATAAGGGTGTGGAGTCTTTCCCTAGCAAATGTGTTTTAAAAACCTTGAGGGGAACCTCCAAAGAGGATAATATTTGCTAGCGGTGAGCTTAGGCTGTTACAAATGGTATCAGAGTCAGGCATCGGGCAATGTGCCAATAAGGAGGCTTGAGGCGGTGTGCCAGCAATAACACTAGGCCCTGAAGGGGGGTGGATTGAGGGGTCCCACATTGATTGGGAAAAGGAAAGAGTGCCAACGAGGACGTTGGGCCCTGAAGAGGGGTGGATTGTGAGATCGCACCTCGGTTGGGAAGGAGAACGAAACATTTTTTATAAGGGTTTGGAAACCTCTCACTAATAGACATGTTTTAAAACCTCGAGGAGAAGCCCGAAAGGAAAAATCCAAAGAGGACAATATCTGCTAGCATGGGCTTAGACGGTTACATCTAATATGCTTCGTTTGTTCTTGTTACTTTCTCATTTCTTTCAAATATCTCATTTCAAACCCAACCGTACTTTCATCCCTTCACCAATTTTTGTACAGAAAGCAGCAATAAAGAAGATGGATATGGAAGCTACAAGGGAGTTCCTCGCCGAAATTAAAGTTCTAACACGTGTTCACCACTTGAACCTGGTACGTTACTACCTACTTCTAGACTTACATGTTTTCGTAAGAACGATGATACAAAATTTATCAGAATGCGTTTCACATATTAAACTCGAACTCGTAAAACAGGGACGCCCTCCTCAAAATGATCCACCTTTTCTTGTTTACATGATCATTCTTAATCTCATGTTTCTGAAATTTACCGATGATGATAAAATGCAGGTGCGTTTGATAGGATATTGTGTTGAGAATTCTCTATTCCTAGTCTATGAGTTCATTGAGAATGGCAATTTAGGGCAACATTTACGTGGCACAAGTGAGTTCATGTGAAAATGGAGAGAAAACTTCACTCTCATTGTGCTGCTTTTGGAGAATTTGATATAACCAGTCACGTTTTCAGGTCGGGATCCGTTGCCCTGGCATACTAGGGTCCAAGTCGCGCTTGATTCAGCTCGAGGTCTTGAGTATATCCATGAGCACACCGTACCCGTTTATATTCATCGTGATATCAAATCAGCCAATATATTGATTGACAAGAACTTTCATGGAAAGGTAGCTCTCAAGTAATTGTAATGTTGAACTGTTAAAACCACCACGGGTTTGCATCTCTTACTCGAAACATATTTTATGCAGGTTGCGGATTTCGGATTAACCAAGTTGACTGAAGTTGGTAATTCGTCTCTTCCCACTCGTCTTGTGGGCACATTTGGATATATGCCACCCGAGTAAGATGACCTTTTTATGCCTCAGTTTTTAGTTTGAGTGTAATAGTGTACCCACCGCTAGCAAATATTGTCCTTTTTGGACTTTTCCTTCTGGATTTCTCATCAAGGTTTTAAAACGCATCCACTAGGGAGAGGTTTCCACATCCTTGTAAAGAATGTTTCGTTACCTTCTCCAACCAATGTGGGATCTCACAATCCACCCTCTTTGGAAGCCCAGCGTTCTCGCTGGCACCCCGCTTGGTGTTTGACTCTGATTCCATTTGTAATATCTCAAGCCACTAGGCTTTCCCTCAAGGTTATAAAACGCATTCAATAAGAGGAGGTTTCCACATCTTTATAAAGAACAAGGTTATAAAACGCGTCCAGTAAGAGGAAGTTTCCACATCTTTATAAAGAATCTTTCGTTTTCTTCTCCAACTAATGTGAGTTTATCTTGTTCATTGATCATTGGCTGGAAGAAGTTTTAGAATGGAGTTTCTAGGTGTTCATCACTTTGTCAGCTGGTTCAATCAACTCCTATTTACTTATAGATTCTAGCCAGTTTTGTGTCTTATAATGCTTTGATTGATTTCTACTGCACTTCCAGATATGCACAATATGGTGATGTTTCTCCAAAAATCGATGTGTACGCTTTCGGCGTTGTTCTTTACGAGCTTATTTCAGCCAAGGAAGCTGTGGTTAAGACAAACAGAGCCAGCGCAATTAACGAGTCGAAAGGCCTCGTCGCTTTGGTTGATATTCTAACCAATCTTTTGTTCTCAGTCTTAAAATTCCTTAGCATTTACTTATGATGATCCTGCATTTTGCAGTTTGAAGATGTACTGAATCAACCCGACGCAAAGGAGAACCTTCACAAACTAGTTGATCCGAGACTCAAAGAGAACTACCCTCTCGATTCGGTTTTCAAGGTAAACGTGAGACACCTTTCTGACGTTGCTTCTAGTAAACTGATGCCTGATGTGTGATTGTAAGAATATGGATTTGTTTTGGTTGCAGATGGCTCAACTTGCCAGAGCATGTACACATGAGAATCCACAGCTACGCCCAAGCATGAGATCCATTGTGGTTGCTCTCATGACACTTTCTTCTGCAACAGAAGATTGGGATGTTGGCTCGTTCTACGAAAACCAAGCCCTCGTCAACTTAATGTCGGGAAGGTAGACTCAAGCACCATAATCATCGCTCGATTTCCACGTCTCATGGAAGCCTGTGTAACCTCTTATTTGATCTCTTTCTGGACAAACATATATGTAAATTCATGTAGTTGAGAATTATGGATTGCCTATGAAAAGGTTCTATCGTGTCATATGTTCTTGAACTTTCGATTTTGTTTCGAACGAGGCCATTAGGCCACAAAGAAGATAACAAATGAGAGTAACATAACTTTATCAATACATTAGTTGCTTTCAACTAATGAACGTTTTCATAGCTAAACAATGGTAATTGACATTTCGATTCTCTAAAGATACCTGAAATAGTTCATTCCGATCTATTCGAGGATGTCGAGTGAAATTTAAGTTACTACCAAAAAATTATATATATATATATATATATATATATGAAACGAAAACGAAAGGTGAGGACGGGAGGAAGTGTTACTCTGCTTGGATGCTGTTTTATGCAGTTTGAATATTTCCTTGTTTTTGAGTGCGAGACTTAGCAGCCCCTTCTTTCCAGCCCCATTGGCGAGCCCTTTGCTCCCATGTTGCTGTTAGTCTCTTCTGAGCAGCTAATACTGCTTCAGCTTTCTCTCTTGCTTCTTCACATGTTTCCATCCCAGAATTGCACTTGTCTGCTTCTTTTTGATACTGAGATGTCATCTTCTTCGCCTCGAGCAGAGCCATATCAGCACGGCGATGACTTTCCGAGGCTTCGGCTTCCTTTAACTTCAGCTCCTCTAACAATAGATCTGCGAAGTTCTTCTCTGTGTCTTGACTCACTTCTGGGTCGTGCTTAACACAACCTACAAAATGTACGAGTATTTACAGTTTGTTGGAAAAAAGTATGGAAGTCGAAAGAAGAAAAATCTAAAACACACACCTATATATTGGATCGTTACTCGTGTTCATCATGATTATTAACCAAACTGAAGTGTCCGTGCTTCTTACAAGCTACTCAAGTTCATCATGGTTATTAGCCAAACTTAAGTGTCCGTGCTTCTTTCGAGCTACTCAAGTTCATCGTGATTATTAACCAAACTAAAGTGTCTGTGCTTCTTACGAGCTACTCAAGTTCATCATGATTATGGCCTCACATTTACCATAGCACACTATTTCTAGAGGCACTTATGAATCTTGACTTTAAAACGTATTAAGAAAGCAATTGATAGATCATTCATGCTCCTTTATCCATTCATGTTGCTACTTCATTTCATGCACTCAGCCTCACCCTTAGACTCAAGAGTTACCGTAACTACCCAAGCCCACCGCTAGCAGATATTGTCCTCTTTAGGTTTTCCCTTCTGAGCTTCCTCTCAAACATTTAAAACGCGTATGCTAGTGAGAGATTTCCACACCCTTAAAAAGAATGTTTCGTTTCCCTTTCCAACCAATGTGGACTCTCACAATCCACTCTCTTCAAGACCCAGCGTCCTCCTACTGATGTGGGTTCTCACAGTTACCGCCTAAGAAAAACTCAAGGCAAGCCTACCTCGACGTGCATTTTTACTGAAAATATTGAAGAACCTATAAATGGAGGAAACATCATCCAATGGCTCTCTTAGAACAATGCAATCTAGTTCATGATCAGTAGAAGAGTTCATATATTGAGATCTTTTACATTGTTTCAATATTCATGAGGAAGCAGAATCATTATAATCACTTGAGAAAGAAAGTAAAACTAACCTGCAAAGGTAGAGTTCCTCAATTCTGCAGATAAACATAATCAGATAAACAATTAGACCACAATTCATAAACAGAAACAATTTCAAAATTCATAAACCCTAGAATCACATAAAACCGACATTATAATCAGAATCAAAGAACAGGGAACCACAAGAAAACCCCCAAAACACGAGATCTAAGCAAGCGAATCACAAAACTAACGAATCTCCGCCGAAATCAGATGAAACCCAGATGAGATCTAATCGGATCTGAGAATTAGAACGAACAAAATTTGAAGTTACCTTCGGGAATTGAGATGACGGGCTGAGAAGGGCAGTCGCAGAAGCAAGGAGGGCAAGAGGAAGAAGAAGATGAGCGGCTAACGACGGCGAAACCTTCCTTGACATGCCAGTAGAGAGGAGGGCCGAGAATGTAGCCGGCGATAGAGAGGGCGATCAAAGCCAATCCAAGCTTGATGAGCGAGGGATCGCAAGAACGCGCCTGAATTGCCATCGGAGAAACTGGAAAGGATTTACTGAGAGTGAAAAGCGGAATAAATAAACTGGTGATTGGAACGAATCTCTTAATACAAACAAAGAAAAGAATCAGATTTTTAATGGGTATCCAAATCTAACCCCCTCTTCTCAAATTTATTGAAAAAGATCTCTTTTTTTATCTTAGAACAGCTGGAATTCAGCGTGACAATGGTTTATAATATCGTGATCTCATTAGTGTTTTTTGATATTTATTCACAAAAGAAAAATATAGATATAATAACAAAATTTAACTTATTGTGTTCATTATTTGTCGATCCTAAACTTCTCAAGTTTTAGCTTTTCGTTTTCGATTTGGCTCCCCACCGCTTGTATTCCATATGTGATGATTTCATGAGGTTGTAGAGATGATTGATTACCTTTCTTGTGGTTGGCTCGGGTTTATCGCGGTGTGAATCTCTATGTCAATGTCAAACTTCTTAAGTTTTAGCTTTCTTTTTCAATTCGGCTCCCCACCACTTGTCTTCTACATGTGCTGATTTGATGAGGTTGTGGAGATGCTTGATTACCTTTATTGTGGTTAGCTCGAGTTGGCCTCGACCTTATCACGGTGTGAATCTCTTCGTTGAAGCCAAACTTCTCAAGCTTTAGCCTTTTGTTTTCGATTTGGCTCCCCACCACTTGTCTTCTACATGTGATGATTTCATGAGGTTGTAGAGATGCTTGATTACATTTGTTATGGTTGGCTCGGGTTGGCCTCGACCTTATCATGAGATTCTAATGTTATTTATGGTTGTATAAATGGGGTTGGGTGGTCTAAGGAAGAACAGCCGAAATCATCATTAAAGGAAGCAAAACAGATTGAACCATGTGTAAAAGCTATGAACTTGGATTGGTTTTGTACATTTTACTATTTCATGCTGCAGATTCTCAAAGCATAGATAGTTGATGTACAAATTACCTTACAGTCTCAACGTCAAGAGGAGGACATGGGCACCAAATTTTGCATTGGATCTACTCTACTATAAGCTGGGGCCTTCTGAATCCGAGCATCGGCCATTACTCGTCTTATAACTGCAGCACGACTCCATTTCTCCGCTCTGGCGTTAATACTCGCCAAAGTCACGTACCGTCCGCAATGTCGTGGCTGCATCACAAGCAGTCTTCTTCCTACTTCATTTCCCAGTTCAGTGGCTCCATGAATGTTGCAAGCATTCAAAAGGGCTCCCAAAACAGAAGCATCAGGCTGAAATGGCATGGACTCAATGAATTCAGTTGCCTCTCTCAAAAGCCCTGCCTTGGCTAAGAGATCAACCATACAGACATAGTGCTCAGCAATCGGTACAATCAAGAAATCGTTTGACATTGATCGGAATAGCTCCAGCCCTGATTCGACGAGCTTGCCACGAGCACACGCTGTAAGAATCGCAACAAATGTAACCTCGTTAGGACGTATTCCTTCAACCTTCATTGAAGCAAATAGCTCCAACGCTTCTCTTCCTCTGCCATTGGAGGATAAGGAAGAGATCATTGCATTCCAAGCGCAGAGCTCCCTGTTCTTCATTTGGTTAAAAACTGTTCTTGCACTTCCCAACAATCCCATTTTCCCATAAAAATCCACCAACGCAGTCCCTATAAACGCACTCAGCTCACCCTCGTTTCTAATAATGTAAGCATGAATTTCTTTCCCACGACAGAGAACTCCCTCCGCAGCTAAATTAGCACAAGAAGAAAGCACACTCACATACGTAGCTTCATTTGGCTTCACTTCACGATTCATCATCATCATCTCAAAGAACCCAATGGCCTCAAGAAATCGCCCATTCCACCAGAACCCATGAACAATACTTGTCCAAGAAACCACATCACGCTTTTTCATGGACCTAAACTTCAAAACAGCAGAACCCATGTCTCCATTTTTGACAAACGCATCAAGCAAAGAGTTAAACGCAACAATACAAGGGTCAGTAATTTCATCGAACACCTTACGTGCATTACCCAATTCCCGAAGCTCCGCGTAGAAGCTAACGAACGATGTCAGCACAAATGGATCGCTCACAACGCCAATCTTGACAGCATGTGCGTGGATCAATTTTCCCAGCAAAGGGGAAGAAATGGTGGCGGATTTGATGATTGAGGGGAAAGTATGAGCGTTGGGTTTGGTGCGGTGGGCAAGCATTTGGGTGTAGAGAATTAGCGTGGAGCAAGGCCGATTGAAGCTCAAATAGGCTCTGATCAGAGCGTTATAGAGAAGACTACTGATCCATTTTGGATTCGAGGGAGCTTGGGGTTTGTTCAAGAGATGATCATCGGTGATTAAAAGGGCGTGGATTTGTTGGATTTTAGCTGAGTTCTTGAGGAATCGTTGAAGAAGTTGCAGTAGCCACTCGGAGGAGTATGGCATAACACTAAACAAGTGGAGGATTCTTCAAAGAACCCTCGTGTCGCTGTCGAGAGTGGCATCGCCACCGCTAGGCGCTCACAATTGTCATGATCTTCCGGGGTGGACGTTAACGAAACAACGTCGTCGTTTAGTGACCCTTTTAACCTTTACTCGTTACTTCCCATTTCTGCCTCATCCGCTAAGCCGTTTGACTTCATATAAAAAGAAAAACCCATCGATCTATTTTACGCTCTGCCTGTTCTTCTTCAGGGTCACTTCTCAAAGGCTCAACGATCTTCTTCACTGTTCGCAAGCTAAGCTCCTCAGTTTCTCCATGGCTGCTTCTGCCTCTTCCACTTTCAAGAAGATCCAAATTCAGAGGGAGGGCACTGTGAGTTCATTACGTTTTTTGCTCTTTGATCTTTTCCCTCGGTTTGTTTTTCGCGTTTGATTTGATCTATTGCTAGTTTCTTTATCTGGTATGATTCTATTTGCTGTTTGGTCTTTGAATAGATTTGTGGCACTGTTTTTGTTTAATGGGTCGGTTTGATTCTTGAGGATAGAGGGAGTTAACCCTATGGCCTGATAAACTCTAGATGATTTAGGGGTTTCTGGATAAAGATTATGGGCTGTGTTTTTTACTATGAATTAGCACTTTATTTGAATGGAGTTGCTCAGTTCCTTCCACGGTGCTTCCGTAAGGGACTGAAACTCTACAATGGTACGATATCATCCACCCACCTTGAACATAAACTCTTATGGCTTTGCTTTTGAATAAACCTATGATCTTTCCCTTGATTAGCCAATACGGACTTCTCTCCCAACAATCTTCAAAAGTTTCAGCCGCTTGAAATTTGAATCCATGAACTTTTCACTGAACTGTTTTGTAACACCTCATATCCACTACTAGGAGATATTGTTCTTTTTGGGTTTTCTTTTTTGGGCTTCCCCTCAAGGTTTTTAAAACATCTCTATTAGGGAGAGGTTTCCACACCCTTATAAAGAATGTTTAGTTCTCCTCCCAACCCAGATGACCACTCCACTTTGCGTCCTCGTTGGCACTCATTCCCTTCTCCAATCGATGTGGGACCCACCAATCCACCGCTCTTCGGGGTTTAGCTTCCTCGCTAGCACATCGCGTGGTGTCAAGCTCTAATACCATTTGTAATAGTCCAAGCTCGCTGCTAGCACATATTGTCCTCTTTGGGCTTTCCCTTTCGAGCTTCCCCTCAAAGTTTTTAAAACGCGTCTACTGGGGAGATGTTTCCATACTCTTGTAAAGAATGTTTCGTTCTCCTCCTCCAACTGGTGTGGGAGACCATCTCACAGTTTTGAGTTTTGTTTTTTTTGAGCAGGAATTTGATGCTTATATTGTGGGGAGAGATGATGCCCCTGGAATTGTTGTGCTTCAAGAATGGTGGGGAGTGGATTATGAAGTCAAGAACCATGCTGTAAAGATCTCTGAGCTTGGTTCTGGTTTCAAAGCACTTATTCCCGAGTATGATGTCTTTTCTCCTTACGATGACAACGAAGATGATGTCGATGATACAATTCGTTTACTTGGTTCTGCTGCATTATACTGATGAATATTTCGTTTCGTGTATTCTCATATCAGTTTGTATCGAGGTAAGGTTGGGTTAGATGTGGCTGAGGCGCAACATCTGATGGATGGCCTTGATTGGCAAGGTGCTGTGAAGGATATACATGCTTCAGTCAACTGGCTCAAGGCTAATGGTTCCAAGAAGGTATTCTACGTACTGTTTAGGATACTAATGGACTGTTGTCTAAAATCTTCATAATAAACTTGGATCATGCTAGGTTGGTGTCACTGGATACTGTATGGGAGGTGCTCTCTCCATTGCAAGTGCTGTGTTGATCCCTGAGGTTGATGCCGTTGTTTCATTCTATGGAGTCCCTTCACCAGAGCTTGCAGACCCTGCCCATACTAAGGCACCCGTTCAAGCTCACTTCGGCGAGCTCGATTCCTTTGTCGGCTTCTCTGACTTGACGGTAGAACCTTTAATGTTCCATTTTCTTTCTTCCATGTGATCTCTTAAGAAGTATCTCCATCTTATGTTAAGGCATTGCAAGTGCTCGATACACAATGTTGTTGGTTGCTACAGTCTCGTTACCAAATGTGAGATCTCATATCGGTCGGAGAGGGGAACGAATCAATCCTTATAAGAGTGTGGAAACCTGTCCCTAGTAGACGCGTTTTAAAACCATGAGGTTGACGGTGATACGTAAACGGGCCAAAGCGGACAATATCTGCTAGCGGTGGGCTTGAGCTATTACTATTGGTATCATAGCCAAACATCGGGTGGTGTTCCAGCGATGACGCTGGGCCCCCAAGGGGAGTGAATTGTGAAATCCCACATCGGTTGGAGAGGGGAACGAAACATTCCTTATAAGGGTGTGGAAACCTCTCCCTAAGAGACGCGTTTTAAATCTGTGAGGCTGACGGTGATACGTAACAGATCAAAGCAGACAATATTTGCTAGCAGTGGGTTTGGGCTGTTACAAATGGTATTAGAGCTAGACAGGAGGTGGTGTTCCAGTGAGGACGCTGGGCCCCCAAGGGGGTGAATTGTGAGATCTCACGTCGGTTGAATGAGGAACAAAGTATTTCTTATAAGAGTGGGGAAACCTTTGCTAGCGGTGGGCTTGAGCTGATACAATCAATGTTTGAAGTAAGGCATTGTAAGTGCTCGATACATAGTGTTGTTGGTTGCTACGGTCTCGTTACCAAATCTCGCGATTCAAATACACATCGTGTTTTCTATTCGATTAACATATGCTGACAAGAATATGTAGCGATCCGGTATTTTACGTGATACAATTATACAAGATAAAGGAGTATAATGAGCTTGAGTTCTTTTCAGGCTGCCAAGAAACTGGAGGAAAAGCTAAAAGAATCAGGAGTTCCTCATGAGGTGCATATCTATAAAGGAAGTGGACATGCTTTCATGAACCGATCCGAAGAAGGTGTGAAGAGGAGGAAGAACATGGGAATGCTCGATGAGGACGATAACGCAGTCGAACTGGCATGGTCTCGCTTCCAGTCATGGATGTCGCGATACCTCTCAGCTTAAACTGGTTCGTTTTCGGTTCGATTCGCCCTTTTATCTTAATTAGCTTCCTAGTTCATGGCTCATTACACAAGCTTGTTTGCATTCCTGGGCACTGTTTGTTAAACTGGAATCCAACTTCTGAATTGTGTTGCTTTGTGGAGTATGCTTGTTGAAAAGTTCATGAATAGAACAATATGGTCTCTGTATGTGTTTGAAATATGAACTCCTGTGGGTATTATCATTTAGTGCTTAGACTTTAACACGTAACCCTTCAAAATTGGTAAACGATTTAATTCTTGTCGTGAAAAGACTTAGGTGTTGTAGTTTATGAACTCATTTAGGACATGTTTGGAAGTGATTTTGAAATGTTTCAAATCACTTTTGTAAGCTTCGAACTTCGAGGTCGTTGACTTGTTTATTAAAAGTCAATCAACACCCACCAAAGGGTTTTGCTCTTGGACAATTTTCGGGTTGTTTTTCGTTAGGATACCATTGGCAGTTTTCTGTTCCGTTCGTGTTTTAGGGTAGTTCTAAAAAGCTACTTTCTCTCTTCAATCCCCTAATATCTCTGTAAGAAAACATACTAGAACTTCAATTTCGAAGAAAAAGAGCAACTTGTTGCACTGTATGTATGAGCTACAACCCGAAATCCTAATTGAATTATTAAAAGCATCTATAGAAAACTAAGTCACGGTCACTATTGCTACCTTTATGTTGTGAATTTATTAAAGAAAAAGTCTTATTATACCAAGGTATTATCTAACCATATTAAATTTAAAAATAAAGAAAAAAAATAATAGTGAATTAAAAATCACTTTTTTTAAAAGAAAATAATTATATTAAAAACTTAATAAACATTGGGACCAACGCCAGTCAATAAAGTCAACCCTGTCTCCTTCTGTCCACCTCATCTGAACCCCTTTCTCCTCTGACTTGGTAAACCAAATTATTATTTTATTTTCTTAATTATTATTTATCAACCTAAAAAAAATCTAACTAAATAATTCCATCATTTAATTAAATTTTTTAAAAATTAAAAATTCAAATCTATTTAAGATTATTATAAAGATTAATTTAACATTTATTACGATGTTATTGATGATTATGACTCGTAAATGTTTGATATTTGAGTTTTATGAGATTCTATTTATTAATATAATATTATTCAAATGATCCTAAAATAAATTCAAGTCGCAATTAAAATCACATTAAACGAGAATTAAATTATATTTACATCGTGACTAATTTTAGTGTCATTTCGAGAATGTATAAAGTCTTACCTATTGTCTCCGTAATTATTATTTATTTATTTTTTTGTAATTATATGTAGTTTAGATTATACATTTAAAATCATTCATGTTTGACACAATCAATCTTGTTTGTGATTTTTTTTTTTTTTTTTTTTTGATATTTGATCATCAAGGTAAGATCATATCTTACTTTCATTTGAAATGATTCCTTGTTATTTTGGGTTCTTCGATATTTAGGATTTAAAAATTTTGTTATTGTAACAACCCAAGCTCAAAGCTACTAGAATGTATCACAATCAGTCTCACAGTTTTAAAACGTGTGAGGGAGAGGTTTTCACACCCTTATAAGTAATGTAAGATCTCACAATCCACCCCCTTAGGGCCCAGTGTCTTAGCACACCGCCCGGAACTTGGCTCTGATATCATTTGTAATAGCTCAAACCCACCACTAGTAAATATTATCCATTTTGACCCATTATCTATCGCCGTGAGTTTCACGATTTTAATACACATATTAGGGAGAGGTTTTCACACCCTTATAAGAAATGTTTCGTTCTCCTCTCCAACCAATGTAATCTCACATTTATACAATAAGATTGTTAGATCGATCATTACGTCAAATTTAATATATATATATATATATATATATATATAAATAAAAGAAGTAATTAAAAAAAAGGAAAGAAATTGAAATTATTAGAAAAAAAAGAGAGGATAAATGTAGTTTAAAGTAGTGTATGGTCTTGTTCGTCAAGTCTTACCCTCCAAAATTATAGCCGAGTCCATTGAAACGGTTTGAAAGAGGTGTGTGTTTAAGTGTTCAGAGATTTATGGCCAAAGGAAGTGGACTCTCCATTGATTCAGATCTATTCTCAATTCTCTCCCTCAAAAAAACCACCATCTCTCCGCCATGGAAGCCGCCGCCCCTTCTCCTCCTCCTCCTCCTCCTCCCACCGCTACCCTCCAGTTTCCGGTCAACCTCAACTCCACCCTCCACGAACCTCCTCCCTCTCCTCCCCCCTCTCCTCCTCCCTCTCCTCCTCCGCCACTGCCCTTCTTCCACTCCCACCGCGCCCTCTTCGACGAAATGAACTTCTTCGCCGCCGATGATAAATCCCGCGTTCTTATCTCCGCCGCTGACTCCAAACTCCGTGCCTCCGACAACCTCAGTCCCACCAAGCTCGACTTTCAAGTAAATGTAGGTCACCCACTGAATTTTCTGGTAATTTTTATCGAATTTTAGCAATTACCCATTTCAAAAAATGGGATTTTTATTTCAATTATGATTTTTTTTTCTTTTGAAATTACAGACAGGGTTGAATCTGTTGACCACCAATTACAGTAGCGATCAATCCATGGTGGACGATGGAATTTCATCGAACCCACAAGACACAAAAACAAAAAACGAGGTGAATTTAGAGAAAAAACAAGATCAAATTTTCAATTTCTTCGTTTTTTTTAATTGAATTTTGTGATGATCATGGTAATTGATCGATCAGAGAGCAGTTCTTCAAGCTGAATTGGAGAGAGTGAACACAGAGAATCAACGGTTAAAAGACACGTTAAATCAAGTCACCAGCAATTACCAATCGCTGCAGATGCAGTTCACAACGCTAATCCAAACCCAGAAGGCAGCCGCTGCCGGCGATTCAACTGACGAGAAGGCCGGCGACCAAGAAACGATCCGACACGGCGGTGGGAATAATGGTAATAATCTGGTGCCGAGGCAGTTTATGGATCTTGGATTGGCTACGAATGTGGACATCGATGAGCCATCGATGTCGTCCTCGGAAGGGAGGAGTGATCGGTCGCCGGGTACCACCGGAGAAGTGGCGTCGTCAAAACGACATAGCCCAGATCAAGGTTCGAATTTGGGTTCAAACAAGGCTTCTAAATTCAGTTCTTCATCCTCGGGTAAAGACGTGGATCAAACTGAAGCTACTATGAGAAAAGCTCGAGTCTCCGTTCGAGCTAGATCGGAAGCACCCATGGTATGACAATTTTAACGTAATTAGTTCGATAAAACAAACGAAAAAATTGAAACTTTTGTTTGGTTGAACTCTTTAGATCACAGACGGATGTCAATGGCGAAAATACGGACAAAAAATGGCTAAGGGAAACCCTTGTCCTCGAGCTTACTATCGATGCACCATGGCCGCCGGTTGCCCCGTTCGAAAACAAGTAAGTCATACCTTTCTATATCAACAATATATTATATACTCGAGTATAACTCAATTAGTTAAGACATATATTCTCGATCAAGAGATCTCAAGTTTGAAATCTCAGCAATATGTTTGAATATACTATAGATCGTTAGCTTGAACTTTGTTTGGAGTGCAAACAAAGCTTCACATTAGCTAGATTCACGAGTGATCATGAGAATATGAGAGCTAATGTTCAAAGTGAGCAATATCAGACCGTGTGATCATGAGTATACGAGAGCTAATGTTCAAAGTGAGCAATATCAGATCGGTGATCATGAGTATACGAGAGCTAATGTTCAAAGTGAGCAATATCAGATCGGTGATCATGAGTATACGAGAGCTAATATTCAAAGTGAGCAATATCAGACCTAGTGATCGTGAGTATACAAGAACTAATGGTCAATATCAGATCGTGTGATCATGAGTATACAAGAGTTAATGTTCAAAGTGAGCAATATCAGACCGTGTGATCATGAGTATACAAGAGTTAATGTTCAAAGTGAGCAATATCAGACCGTGTGATCATGAGTATACGAGAGCTAATGTTCAAAGTGAACAATATCAGACCACTACGGAGAACATGTTTGGTTCATTTTATGGTTTCAAATCTTAATCATATGAAATAAACATGTTTGGTTCTATATATATACATATAGGTACAAAGATGTGCTGAAGACAAGACAATTTTGATAACAACGTACGAAGGCAACCACAGCCATCCATTGCCGCCGGCCGCCATGGCAATGGCATCAACAACATCATCAGCGGCCAGAATGCTTCTATCAGGATCCATGTCAAGTGCCGACGGTTTAATGAACCCAAATTTTCTAGCAAGAACCCTATTGCCATGTTCTTCAAGCATGGCTACAATCTCGGCCTCGGCCCCATTTCCGACGGTCACATTAGACCTAACACAAACCCCGAACCCTTTATTCCAACGACCCACACCGGGTCACTTTCCAATCCCGTTCGCAGCCGGTCCGACTCAAAGCTTCCCACAAATTTTTGGACATGCCCTATACAATCAATCAAAATTCTCCGGCCTCCAAATGTCGAAGGAGATAGAAGCGCCTACGCCTCCTCCACCGTCGCAAAATCCATTGGCCGACACGTTGAGCGCGGCTAGTGCAGCGATCGCATCCGACCCGAATTTCATTGCGGCGTTGGCTTCTGCGATGACATCGTTGATCGGCGGATCGCATCATCAAAAGGAGAATGGGAATGGGAATAATAATGTTGATAATAATACAACAAGCAACTCCCAACAGTAACATCAAGAACAACAATATGATTCGAAGGTTGCCAATTTCAGACCCATATAAAGAACTCATTTTTTTGGTGTAGTTAGAAATTTAAACTATAGATTTGTTCTTGAGGATTTATTATATATACATATTTTATTATTTTAATAATATCAAACCCTCAATTCTTTTTTCCACACGCTTTGGATATATTATTTTTTGGTTTCAAAAGTATAAAAAACAATGATTTTGATTTTGATTTTGATTGATGGATGATTGTAGTTGACTTAGACTTATCGAAATGTTGATGTGGTCGTTAACATGTTTGTCCAATTTTGTTTAATGTTGTTGTTCATCATTATTGTCTAATGCTCGTTGCTGATCTACCATCTCAAAGCTCTGTTTTACAAGCACCCAAATCTAGTGATGGAGAACAAAAACCTAAAGCTCGAACCCAGATATGAAATGGATTTGGATCCTTACTTGTTTCAATGTCTAAAGGAACTTCAAAACGACTACAATGTGTGTTGAATAACAATAAAGTAGAGAGTGTTGAACGCAACGGTGAGTGTTGGCACCGTCATACCAAAAGTAATGCTTGCTAGAGAAGAAGAGAGAAAATAATATCGTGAGGTTGACGACAACATCTAACGAACTACTAGCTGTGGGCTTAAGTTGTTACAGTGGTATCAGAGCGATACACCAAATGGTGTGCCAGCGAAGATGCTGGGCCTCCAAGGAGGTGGATTATGAAATCTCATATTGGTTAGAGAGATGAACGAAACATTCCCTGGTAGACACGTTTTAAAACTGTGAGGCTGACGACGATACGTAAAAGGGTAAAACAGACAATATCTAATAGCGGTGGACTTGAGCTATCAATGATCCAAACAACCAAAATTGAAACGCAGGTCACGAGTCGTCTGAGTAGATCCAAGAAAGCTAAAGAACAAGAAAAAAAAAAGGTATTAATAAAAGAATGGAATTACGTGCAACAAATGGCAATGAAAGGCAAAACAAATGAAAGGGAGTCAAACAAATCGTCTCGTTAATAAGAAGAAGATAAGCATTTTAAGGCTACAGAAAGCAACCTTCTTGTCAACTTCCAACTGTCTTTTTTAAAGCCTCGTAATAATACACTAACAATTGTCAGTTTCAACCCTTCTTTTCTCCTCTTTCTTAGTTTCCAGTCGACCTAAACTCTATTTTAAAGTTGAAAATTTGATGAACGGTTGAGTTGTTAGGGACAAGTGATGTGAGCTTCCACATCGATTGGAGAAGAAAACCATACATTCTTGTAAAAACCTCTTTCTAGTAGACAAATTTTAAAATTGTGAGGCTGACAATGATACTTAATGGTTAAAACAGACAATATCTACTAACAGTGACAATGATACTCAATGGGTTAAAACAAACCATGTCTACTAGTGGTGACAATGATATTTAAAGGGTTAAAGTGGACAATATTTACTATCACTATATTTAGGTTGTCACGAGTGACCTCCAAATGCTATTATATTATCCACTTGAGCCCTCGTCATTTTGTTTTGATTCTCAGAAGGTTTCGTACTAATAGAGATAGCGTTCTTCTAGATATGAATTACTCGGTTACTATGAATTTGTTGAGTTTGGAATTTGTAAATTTGGGCCTTAACTAGTTATATGGGCTTTACAAACCCACCTTTCTTTTTAAAAATACCCCCATAAGTCTCTTCATAATTGAGTCCAAAACGTGTAATTATATAAAACATGATATATATATATATAAAGACGAAGATTCTATTCCTAAGATATTGGACGAGCATTAGAGCCATCGAGGAGTGGCAAACACCTATAGATTTGAGTGAGCTAAGACCTTTTTTAGGGTTCGTGAGCTATTACCAAAGATTCATGGTAAGTTACTCGAAGATGGCTACTCAACTCAAAAATCTCCTAAACTAAAGGACACACAGACCGAAACATGTTAGAAGGACTCACGTTGGTTTGTCGGGGATAGTCTTCACTCTTAGTAGCAAGGAAATGTAAGTAAACGTGACCATATTGTAAGAGATGTAGGGAAATACTAAGGCATATAGGTCCGAGTCCAAATTTTGAATCCTGAGCGTTTGACATTATAATATTTATACTTTCTTTAAGATTGAGGTGAGGTAAGCATGATAAAGGCATAAATAAATGTAAATGGTGAGAGTTTGGTGGTATAATTTCAACTTAAACCAAAAGATTCTACCAATAAAATAGTTTGGCAACAACTTATATAAAATTAAATAATTATTTCTTTTTAACTCCCAACCAATCTTCTCCTTTATTCTTAATTCCCTAATAAATTTATTAAAAAAATTAAATTAATAAAAATATCTCCCAAATTTAAATTTAATTAATTTTATTCCCTTTTTAAAAAAATATTTTTATGAAAATAAAATATTAACATTCTAATTTTTTTTTTAATGGTTTAAAAATATCAATATTTACCCGTCACAAATTATCACTAATATTAGTTTAAAATATTAAATATTAGTTCGGTTGACTAGACTAAAAAAAAATGTCAACTCGCAAACTAACCAACCCAAATCGAAAAAAAAAAAAAAAAAAATCTAACCTATTCGGATTGGATAGTCATATAGACTTTTCTTTTGATAATTTAACAACAATTTCTCCCTCTCATTATTAGTATAATTTTATTTTTTATTTTTTATTTTTTATTTCTAACATTTTCTAACTCTATTTCAGAGCACCACGAGATTTTATTTTTTTATTGTATGGAATTGTTATAGCAAGCATGAACAGGAATAAACAATGACTCGAGTTGACCCGAGTTTTACATATTTAGAATGTCTAAAGGTATCGTTGACGTGAAATGATTTAGAAAGATTCTTCTTTCTCGATCACAGTATATATAGTAATGTTTCTTTTTCAGTCCAATCCTAATTCCATTTTCTTTTCTAATCTTTTTAAAAATTATAATACAAAATAATGGAAAAATAAAATAAAATAAGAATACTTAAAAGTCACGCATTAATTAAGGTTTTGGAAGCATTATATTGCTTAGGTCCAACTAACATAACTAATATCAAAAAACATCCAAATTTAGGGTTTGTTAGCTTTTGAAATTACTCCAATTTTTAGTTGCAGCAGCTAACCACCACCACCACCGTCACAACCGCCGCCACCGCCGCCGTCACTAATAATTTCATTTTTTTCCACATTAATTACTTTTATTTTCTTCCACCTCTCCTCTTAATTAATTTTCTTTGATTTGTTAAAATTGTAATAATGATTAAGTACTAAATTTTGTGAATTATTACTCTTAATTCAATACCCACCTTTAATTTTAATTTTAATTTTAATTTTAATTTGGTTTTGCTTGCTTTACTTAGGGTTTATCAATTATATAATTAAGTTTGGTCAATTCATTACAAGACAAAAAGTACTAAATAAATAATAGAATAAGTAACCTTTTCTTTCTATTAAATTATTCTTATAAATATAGGTGACAAATACTAATATTTGACCATTTGAGCTATGTTGGTTACAAGTGTTGGATCGGTATGGCAACCCTAGAGGGGGGGTGAATAGGGTTTTAACGATAAAAGTGTTTAAACTTGATTAATTTTTCTAATGATAAAACTTTTTACAAATAAGTAGAAGATGATAATTACTAAAACAAAATAATTCAAGTCAAAACAATAATCAAGTAGAACATGCAATAAACATAATAATAATCTTGAAATTAAATAGGAAAGAGTTAGAGAAAATGACACCGTAGTTTTATAGTGGTTCGGTCAAACTCGACCTACTCCACTCCCCAAGCGCCTCTTGGGAATTTGAATAAAGAACTTTTCCGACTCTTTCCACGGATCAGAGCCAAACCGGTACACCGCTCTTTTTACGAGTTCAAGAGCAAACTCAATCCTTTCAACGACGCAGGATCAAACCGATACAAGTATTTGAGTTTGATAATAACACACCACAACTCTCTCAAAGAGTAGATTTACAATTTGGGATACTGACAACTATTTCCTCACAATATAATAATAATCCCTCTCAAGAATAAGATGAAAAGAAATAAACTTGTAAGCTTGGAGAGAGCAATAAACAATGGAGACTTTGAACAAATGAGGATTGAAGAATGTATGTAAGTTGTGTATGTTAAAAATGTGGGGAAGATGAGTTTATATAGAGGAGAAAAGTGGCAAAATGTAGGATTGAATATTGACCATTGGATTGTGTTAGGAATAATGGAAGGTGGAGATTAAAAGTAATTAAGTAAGAAAATTTTCTAAATTCATTTATTTCAAAATTTTAATATAATAGTAATATAATATAATAATAATAAAAAGTTATGTGAGTAACGGTAAAATGTAATTCAAAATTTATTATAAATATAATAATATAATAATAATAAAAATGATGTGAGTAACTACCAAAATTTTAAAATATAATAATATAATAATATAATATAGTAATAATAAAATTCGATGTGAGTAACGGTTATATTCAAATTTATATTTGTAAAAATAATTTTATTTAGAAATGTAATAATAAGAAAAACTCCACCATGTGTTACTCTTCCAATATTATAAATGTCATACTTTGATATATTTTGATTTGTCCATCATTTTGATTTTGTTGCCACATCATCACGTCGGGTATGTTGTCTCGACTCTAATTTCTTCGTTTTAGCTCTGATTTGAGTAATTGAAAAGTTGTTGTAATCGTTATTCCCGACCTTATACTGTGGACAGTTCAAAAAACTGAAAATAGTTAATAATTAAAAGTAGGTTTGTTATCATCAAAACATCAATAATTAATTCATTGAAATTAATTAATGTGAGATCAAGGGCCAATAAGCCAACAATCTCCCCCTTTTTGATGATGACAAATCATTTAAAGAAAAATTCATAAAAACCAATAATACAACATCCATGTAATAATATCACTACATACTAATATATTATCATAAATTTCACTCAAGAGCATATTCTCCCTTATATTAATGCCTCAAGAAATTATGAAACACCAAGTAAATGATTCATAAATTATAAAATAACAAATTTAGAACATATTTTTCTTAATTTTCTCCCCCTTTGTAATCATCAAAATGAACAATTGAAAGAGAATGCATTTAATAATGACATAATGACTCCCCCTAAAAACATGCATTCAAAAATTAT